ATATATATATATATAGATATATTATATACTCGCTCGCGCAACTGCGATAAAACGCATTTTTTTTCGGTTTTTTTCATTAAAGTGTTTTATACATCATTCTCCTATATATTATCCTTCTGAAATTTAATATCGACTTCCTGCCACACACATATATAAAATCGCAACAATGACGAGTCAGTAAATTCCGATTACCGAATGCAAAAAATTAGAATATCCGTATTATCGTTGTTGCGGACATCAAAGTAATTATTACGTTATTCTTAATTAACGGAAATTAATAATTGCACTATATTAGTATAACAAACAATAATGTATGTCGTCGCTCCTATTCTGTAAATAAATACTATACCGTCTAAGGAAACGCATTGGAAACTTCTTTGAGATGTGATAAACATCTCTTCCATTTCATACGATTGTGGAGTTTAGGGATTCGTAGAACCATACACCGAAATAACGAAGAAAGATTATTTGCACTTTATTTGTATATCAAAATATAGTATGTATTCGTATTTTACATTAAATTATCTCGAAGATAAATCTGTAAATACATACTAGAACATTTAACTGTAAAAATTACATTTTTTATTAATATTATTTTATTTGTAAAACAACACTTTGCGCGTGCCTTTATTTCACATATACAATATTTATATTTTATATAAAATATCACTATCAAAAATATCAATCATTTTTTTTAAAGATTGGTTCATGAATGTAGAAAATACTTTATACGTAATGCATAAAATAATCGTATAATGTTAATACAGATACTGATAAATGTATAATAGATAAATACTTCCGTCAATTTCATAACGTTTTCATTAAATTGCGTATAAAAATGTCCTTTAACAGATGTTTTAACATGGAACACCGACGTATACAGGATGTTTCTTAATTATATAGTAATACTTCAAAGAGTGAATATAAAAGTTTCATATAAAAATAAGCTGGTTTAAGTTTCATTTTTTTTGAGTTTTAATAAATCAAAGAAAATATTTAAAGTGTGCGTGTATATGTAAAACTAAAAAATGTATCAAACAAAGAGAATAATAATGCCTATGATAGCCGATACAGTTGATCGTGTATAATCCAATATTTATATATCAATCAGTAATTACGGATTTTTGATCCTAAATTTGGATCATCCCCAATGTGTTAGAGTAACAATTATCGGAGTCAAAATGTCTGTAATTACTGATTGACATATAAATATTGGATTATACACGATCAATTGTGTCGGCTCTCATTGACATTATCATTTCCCTTGTTCGATTTAATCTTTGGAGCCTTTTTTAGTATTAATTATCGTCAAAAATGTATACCATATATTCTTTACTTGCTTTATTCTAAATTCACACGTGAAGTATTGCATACAATTATGGCATACAAGAAACATATCCTCCTCCCTCCCCCTGTATACATACCTCCATACAATATCATACATAATAATGTATTGTACAACAGTCACTAAATTATGAGAAAAAAGAGAACGAAATATTTTTGTCTATACTTAAAGCTCCTGTTTTTTCACTACAGAATTAATATGTGAATCTGTTTTCTTGTATTTGTTTTCTCACGTTCGATAATATGAATTGCTAAAATATATCTGATCTTATTTTTATTATTCTACATTAGTGAATATAATGTTCAGTCTAAGTGTGTTTGACATTCCAGCGAAAATAAATCTTGTAACAGATGATTGATTTACACTTTACAGCTACTATTTATCAATCCAGGAATTGAAAAAAAATTCTGTATATTTTAATAATTATTGAGTGTGTGTGATATGCGGAAAGATTAATTCATTTCGATTTATACAGGATGTCCCAAAAAAGATCAGGACATCTGAATATCTCGGAAAATATAAGTTTTACAGAAAAATGTTTCAGACAAAAAATTGTAGGATTTAAAAAGATCTATTTACTGATCTTATCAATTTGATCTTGGGTGGCGTCGCCAATGTCAGGTCAAGGTCACATCAATTTTTTTAAATGAAACGCCCTACTTCTGACACCAGCTATTAGATTCTGGAATCAAAAGTAGGATGTTTCATTTTTAAAAAATCGATATGACCTTGGTTTGATCTTGGCGATGCCATCCAAGATCAATAAATAGATCTTTTTGAACTCTATACAACTTTTGTTTGAAATACTTTTCTGTAAAACTTATATTTTCCGAGATATTCAGGTGTCCCAACCTTTTTGGGACACTCTGTATTGTAAAAAAAATATTTTTCTAACTGATTTTTTTAATCATAATATTTTGACGTTACAACTCAATACAACTGCTGAAATGAAAAAGAAAAGAGGGACTTTAAAATAATTCATTACAGAAGATTTACTGCAGCATTTGCAGTTATAATGATCAATATGATTGGAAATTATGAATTAATTTGATGCTTCTTAGTAATTTTGACAAATTTTTCCATTTTTGGCAAACTTATTGAAATTTGTTAATGATAATTAATCTTATCTCTATGAGAGAGATAATAGATTTTGGCTGACTATTTATAATAAAAATAATACGACTATAAATTACTTTTAAGAAAAGGTTTGAGGTATTTATGGAAGGATTGGTTAACACTCTCCTGATTTAAAGGACTTTTCATCGCCTCATCAAAGAGACGCTGATATACATTGCCGTCATATGCGCCAAGCGCGGATGCGAGGATCTCGTCACGAATATTGAATCCATCGACAATACCAACAGCATTTGGACGGATTGCAGCGAGCATCTCTTCGAAGCGTGCTTGAAGTGCCGGAACATCTTCGTTATTTAGACAGGAAAACTGTAATTATAAAATACATAATCATATTAATGAAGTGATTCGGTCACTTTATCGAAATTATGATAATAATTTAAGTTTTAGATATAGTACTAACACGAAGAAAATCTCCAAGCCGTTGTAGTACCCAATATATCGAGTACAATTCGCAAAGTTGCATCAAAACCTCGCGAAGCTGCTTGGATACAGATGTCAATCCTCTGACATTTTCAACAAATCTCATTACTAAGAAAGCACGGCAATGAGATTCCGCGCAATGTGCTAATTCAATGCTAGTTTCATTCCATGCATCTTCTGGTGACGTACCACTACGTATTCTGCGGTCCATGTTTTCCGTTGCCAAACGAATTTTGCTATAAAACAGAAATTGTAGATTGCGATAATATTATAATGCTGTCTTCCGTCCATAAGTTTTCATACATAAATATCGATTTTATGTGCATATACATATATATTTCTTTTATATATACACTACGCAACAAAATTATCGCAACAAAATTTTTCATCGAAATTTTGCTATCCTTCAAATGCGCATAACTCGGTCAATTTTCATCATATCAAGACGATTTTTTTTTCATTTTGTAGGTAATTATCTGTACCTTAAGAAAAACTTGATGCCAAATTAGGTGCAAGTCGATGCTGCATCTCCATGTTTTGACAAAGCCCAAGCATTTTTTTTTCTTAAAAAATTTGATTGTTTGACGCGCTACCTGGATCGCCTCGATTCTTTTTCGAAAATACCACATAGACCATTGTAAAGTGCACTTTTCAACAAACAATTTGAAAAAAAATTCGAGTCTACGATTTTTTGACCGAGTAATGCTATTTTGAAGTTATTCGGACATTTTTAACGAATACCGCCAGCATTAGCATTACCCGATACGTACCGCGAGGAGGTTGCTGGTTGGACTTCACGCATTATTTTGGCCCTGAAAAGGTTCGATTACGTAAACTATTTGTCAAATTAAGGACTCCGTGGCTCGTCACTTCCACAGTATTTTCTGACTCCAAACCCTATTTGCCTAAAGCCAGAGTGGTCAAGTATTAGAGGCAATCAATACCGTGTATTGCCACCTCGGCGTAGGATAACCTCTCCTAAACGTTCTTGCATATTAATGCATGCTCCGATTGAATCTTGAGGTATCTCGTGCCAGATTTCATGTAGAGCTCTCTCAAGCTCTTGCAGATTAGCAGGAGGCTCTCCAAGTTACGTAATCTCCTACCCATCATGTCCCATACATGCTCAATAGGATTGAGGTCTGGACTGTTAGATGGATGAGGCAGTAACTGTATATTGTTTACTGCCAAGTACTCACGAGTTACCCTCGCAACATGGGGAAATGCATTATCCTGCATCAAGATGAAATCACGGCCTATTCGTCGACGCATTGGAATCACGCAAGAACGCAAAACTTCGTTTATGTAACGTACCGCTGTGAATCCTGGGGGTTGGAGAATCACTAGATCTGTTCGATGGTTCATTGATATTTCACCCCATACCATAACGGATCCTCCACCGAACGCTCGAGTTGGATCAACATGATTCGCTTCAAAACGCTCTCGTCTACGTCGTCAAATTCGGATCCTAGCATCATTCCCAAACAGACAAAATCAAGATTCGTCTGTAAACAACACATTTCTCCTCTGGCCGTCCAGTTTCAATGATTACGGGCGTAATGTAGACGAGTTCGCCGATGCACTGTTGTCAACATGGGCACTCTAGCACGAATTCATGATCTTAAACCTCTTTCGTGAAGGCGTCTTCTTATCGTTTGAGTACTAATTCGTCTGCCTGGTAAAGCTTCATTCCCAATTTGTCGCGCAACCCTTGTTGGGACGCGCAGAGCTTCATTGACAATGTTGCGATCCTCCCGATTCGTAGTTACCCTTGTAGGTCGACCTTGACCAGGCCTGTGACGATAAGAATCTGTTTCTTGGTATCGACTAAAAACGCGATACCGTCAAGTGATTAATACCCATTATTATTGCTATAGCGCTCTGACTCAATCCCGCCTCTAGCAGGGCCACAATTTGAGCAGATTGAATTTCAGTAAGCCGAGGCATTTTTAGTAAGAAAATAAAATATCCTGTGCTTTTCTGTATTTTTTTATTAGTATTCACTCTGCATAATAAAATTAATGTTCAATACGGATCCTTCCCCATAATGAGGTTTCGGCATTTGACTCTATCGCGATATTCGTTAAAAACGCTCGAATAACTTCAAAATGGCATTGCTCGGTCAAAAAAAATCGTAGACTCGAATTTTTTTTCAAATTGTTTGTTGAAAAGTGCACTTTACAATGGTCTATGTGGTATTTTCGAAAAAAAAAATCGGGGCGATCCAGGTAGCGCGTCAAACAATCAAATTTTTTAAGAAAAAAAATGCTTGGGCTTTATCGAGCGATAACTTTTTTTTATTCATCTGTAGTCTCAGACATTACACAAGAACTTTAACATTTTGGTTCCAGGCTCTGAGACAAGCGTAGGAAATTTTCGAGCGCAAGTACGAGCGATAACGCGGAGTTTGCATTACTTGAAGAGCTTCCGAGACCGTTATCTCTTCGAATTATTGTTTTTTTATCGTTAGTGATGTCAGACATCGATCTCATTCTTTTAGATTTTCCCATAGGACGCGAGGACGAAAAAGAAAATTTTTGGTCGCATGTACGAAAGGTCTCCCAGAATTTTTTATTCATTCGGTTCCCTTCGCGGACCGCGATCTTCGTTTGAAACTGGACGTACATTTGAAATTTTTTGACACATGTATATATGCGTGATTTTCTATTGTCTGTTATTTCTGTATGTGGCCACCTTTAATTTTCGCTCCAAACTTCAACCACATTTGATACGATGAAAATTGACAGAGTTATGCGCATTTGAAAAATAGCAAAATTTCGATGAAAAATTTTGTTGCGTAGTGTATATATATATATAATTACTCCACGCGAAAGAACAGCTAAATATCCGACAGTCGGCGGAAGCGGTTCGCCGCCAATAGCTTGTCTCCAAGTTTTCACCAGATATCTAGCCGTTTGCAATAGCAGAACCGTGTTTTCGCCTTCATAAGTGCAAGTAGCAGTCACTAAACCATAAGTCGCCGGCAAGTTGCTCGCATCCATATAACCGTGCCCACCACATGCCAATCGTAATTGCTCAATACCAGTAGCTCCGTCTGATGATGCAACTGCCTTTAGACAACATGCCAGGGCATGCAGCTGAAAAATATAATTTGATTTTTCCAACAATAACGACAATTATTTAAATTCCAAATAAATGGAGTACGTAGAGTGTGAGATTATCATCTTCTATATTTCTATTTTTATATGTATAATAACGTATCTAGTAGTATACCTCAGGTAGTCTTTCCAGTTCTCCTTGATCTAATTCAGCTGTCACATTGTTATACATCTCCCAAATCCAATCGGCGCACATTCGAAACGCGAAACACGCAGCAAGATTTGGAAACAATTTATATTGTTGAGTAACATAATCCATAATTTGTGATTCCGGCTCGCTGAAATAAATTAAAAAAAAAATTTTTAATACATTTTACATTCTGAATACTATTTTAATCTAATTATTATTAACCGACTTGTAATCTAGTTGAAAAATGAAAGGTATTAAAGTATTTCTGATAAAATATGACCTGTATATTTTATAATTTAATGTCTTTATTATGCACTTCGCGTCAAACTACATGTCCAACAGCATAAAATAGTATAAAAGATGTAATAAGTTTTTTAAAACTGATTATCGGTATCGCGTCAATAATTTACTTTTTATTACGTACTCAGGTTTTATCTGACTCTGTCGTCTCACTGCGCTATATCTGATAGCTATCGTTACCGCCTTCGACAGGTAATTAGAGATATCGCGTACTAATACCACTCGAACGAACATCATAGTACCGTAGGTAAGTTTATCACTAGGCGCTTTCACATAAGTTCCATCCTCCAGCACCTGAAAATTCGGACGATTAGAACTTTAAACTTTCCTGTTAGACTTTTTCTTAAATAATCAATCGTGAATGTTTTGTCCTTTCTTTTCCCATTACCTGAGAATTTTTCATCAGCATGTGCTCGCGCGGTATTCTAACGTTCTCGAAACCGAGAAAGCCATTATTAGTTGCATTCATTCCTAATTTGGTGCCAATTTCACCGATCTTTATACCTGAAGACAAAGATGTATCCTTTAACATAAGTCTCTTTGTCGTTTGTAAATGCAATATTTGGTAAAAAATATAATAAAGTTTACTCGTAAAATACGTTTATGATTTCACGTACCTGGTAACGGTTCATGAGTGTTCTCATCCCTAAGTTGTACAATAAAGGCATGAATGCCTCTGCACTCTCCTTTCGTATATAATTGTGCAACGACAATTGCATAATTCGCAGTATGACCCACTGAAAGTATTTTATTTCTATAAACCTTGAGAGTGATCTGAATGTACCTATGTTAATTTGAACAAAAAATATACTTACAACCACCAGGCCACCACTTGTATGATGTCAAAGTCGGACTATTTAATACAAATTCTTTAGTCTCAGGGTCATAGGTCGCTGTAGTTTCTAAACCTCTAATAAATGTGCCATGACCAAGCTCCGTCTAAGAACATATGGTTTTATTATTCTACAAATTACACGGTTTTCAAAAATGTATAGGTATATATTAAATAATTAATGATGAATTTGTGATTAAATAACGTTTAGTAAGAAACATACTTGGGCATAAGTACCAATGATATTACAGCTCCAAGCTCTGGATATCCAATATCCTTGTTGTTCAACAGTGCCTTGTCCCATAATAGCAGGTATAAACATCACATGGTGCAGTGTCAACGGATTACCATCCTTCAGTATCGCTGAGCCTAACATGCCTCCTAAAATTTGTCTACAGAGCACCACAAATGCTTTTGTCAAATGACGTTTTCTTTTTTAGATTTGTAAAAGTTTACGTTTAGCAAATATTTTTCTTCGCGTGGAACATTAAACTTTGAATTAAATTAAATATTATTTCGAGTAAATAATAATAATAATTTTATAAATAATATAATTTGCTTCAAGTAAATGATATTTTCATCATAAAACATTAAACACTTCGACTTGAATATATTATATTTTATACAAGGTGTACTAAGTACGTTGAAAGATTTTAAGGAGTGATTGCTCACACAAGTTCAAGATTAAAACTTCATATGACGATTTGTCGAAAACGGCTTAATTTCAAAGATACAAGCTAGATGTCAAAGTTGGAAAAAAATATTGTTTTTTCCAAAAATTTCAAAAACCGTTCGAGTTATTTTGATGTAACTTGGTTTAATGGACATAAAAACTTATCTTTTGGAAATATACGTTATCTTTTTATTCAATCAAAGTCGGACCTAAGGATAAGCAAAATTTTTTTACGAAAAAAACTGAGTACATCATTAATTTTTTAAAGTTTGATATTTTAAAGTTTGAAATCGTCGTTTTATTTGATTATCAGTTACAATAAACTGAAAAGCGGAAAATTAAATTCTTGTATATATATCTTGTATATACGACTTCCATTCAGAATGCTTACATCTTATAGAAATCACTCAGTTATTCAAAATACGCTCGGAATCTTCTGCCGGGTGCGTCAATCGATACGAAGAAGAACGGATGTTTGCACTATGACACAAAATGATCACTTTCAACATTTGCTTTAGAGTTTAATTTTTCGCTTTTCAGTTTATTGTAACTGATAATCAAATAAAACGATTTTGTCCATTTGCAGTCTACGAATTCTAATTTTTTTTTTCTCGAAAATAGCTCATTCTATCGAAAATGTTAAAGAGAGGTTTTTTCGGTGAATTTATCCCATTTATCATAAAAAAATTTTAAACTTCGAAAAATCAACGATGTACCAGTTTTTTTCGTAAAAAAGGGGGTCTTACTTATCCTTAAGTCCGTCCCTGATTGAATAAAAAGATACTGTATAGTCCCAAAAGATAAGCTTTCATGCCCATTAAACATATCAAGAGACATGGTAGTGTCTCACGCCAAGTGGACACGCAGTGCGAGATCGCTCCGTCTTTATGCGAGCCAGCGAGTTGCAAACAGTCGAGATTATCGATTTTTCAATAAAGGCTGGACCGATCGACTTCTGAGTAAAGCTCAATCGATAGCCGAATTATGTAATAAATGTTTAAATTAAAAATAATAATAGACTCTCTCAACAATAAATAATAGACAAAAATAGACCAATGAGAGTATAAACGCAGGTGTAAAAAGATATAATTTTAAAGTAATTATAATTATAAGATTAAGAATTTATAATGATAAAACCACTGCATACAAGTATTCGAACGCTTCGACTTCCTTTGTAGCCATTCTCAGCGAACATAGATCGAGTAACGATTCACGTCCCTCGCGAAGTACTTAAACTCTGAACTAACAACATATATCAACGATATCGGTCCACATTATCAATATGCAGACGTTCGATGTTTTATTTATTTTTTCTTTCTTTTTTGTCGACATGTCCCTCATTGCAATATGATGTTATTATTTCGACATACTTTAATGGATTCCACTTTGGATCTTGCAATCCACGAGTGATTGGCCATTTTATTACTCCGCGAGGAATGTGACTTGTTACTCGATCTGTGTTCGCTGAGGATGACTACAAAGGAAGTCGAAACGTTCGAATACTTGTATGCAGTGATTTTATAATTATAAATTCTTAATCTTATAATTATAATTACTTTATATAAAATTGTATCTTTTTGTGCCTTATGACCTGCGTTTATACTCTCATTGACCTATTTTTGTCTATTGTTTAATAAATGTTTATTTTACCTCTCTATATGTCCTACGAACGGAGATATCGTGATGCGAAATCCGAATGTCAAATTTGTATGTAAGATCCTGTAAAAAGCAAGGTGTAGCATTGCGCATTAGCAGCACTTTTGCTACGGTTAAATCAATCAGCAGATGATCCATTTTGCAGGCGTTCACTTTAAAGTAAAATTTGATTATAAGAAATAAGAATACATGAATTATGTAAAATTTTTTAAATATACGTATATTTAGAATTTATGAAATATTATTATTGCAAATAAATTTCGTTTTCTTTTTCCTAATTATAGATGATAGTAAAAATTTCATAAACTACAATAATTAAATGAAATACGTAATTTTATAATTACGTCATAATTACATAAGTCATGAAACTTTTGACTTGTATATAGAATAAACAATTACATAGTATTAACTATTATTAAATGTACTGGATAAAAGACTCAATCTAAAAGTATTTACTCTCTAATAAGTAAACAATTTAGGTATGTTTACAAAATATTAAGTGTAACAGCTAGAAAGGAGGGAATAGAAATTTAATAAATAAAATAATTAATGACAATTAAATCCACATAACCCAACTAGGGCAGGAAAAATGGAATAAATGAATAAACAAATAAATTTACGTAACTAAATCAAGGCATGGGATAATTTTAATAAATAAATTAAGTAACTATAGCAAACAATCAACCCTATCTAATAGGTCAGAGAAAAGGAGTCTAATGTATAAAAACTATAATGACAATTAAACCTGCCAAATCAGAATTTGTAATCAATTATCCTATCTTGTTTAAATTAAATATATTTAATTGTTTATTAGTTTATTTATTTATAAAAATAATAAAAAAAATAAAATAACGATATAAACTTTAAATATAAACTTTATTGTATATATTTTTGTGGGTTTTTCCCAATTTTTGAAAGATAAATAAAACCAGAACACACAATTTTTTCTGCACAACTACCCTAGTTCAACCAGACGTACATACGTGACGGATGTCATATTGCTTGCAAAATGGGTCGCGCGCTGATTGGCTCAGAAATTGAACGAGTGCGCAGCATCGGGAATGCCACACCTTGCTTTTTACGCCGTGTGTAAGATATGTCATCGTCTCAAAAATCTTCTCCTTTTCATATTTTCGACGGTAGAATCGTTTATTGCGACTCTCATTTATCGATTTACTTATGGTTTTATTAGCACTGTATATCGACAGTGAAATGAAATTGCTACGTATAATTTGCAGGATAATAATTAATAAATAATCAATTTATCAATATTAGATCGACAAATAATTATTAACTCGACACATTGCGCGGATAAATGAAATCACTAAAATTTGTCAAGAATTAATTCCTTATTATAATTTCCTATTCAATAATATTAATATAATGTAGCTGTTACATATAATAACATGTTTCAAAAGCTATAGTAGGTGTCTAGGTGTTAGCCGTCGAGGAAGTAGGTGTCTATAGGTGTTTGCTGTCAAGGAAGTATCTAGATCAGTGGTCGCAAGGATTTGCACATTTCGGGCCGATTCCGGCGCGCGACCCCCACCACCGCACGGCCGA